GATGAAGTATTTTTTATTTAAATTCTATGAATTCATAGAATTCAAATAAAAAAAAATTATCAAATTTGGTCTGGTGGGAGTGGAGATAGCTTCACTCAAAGCTTTTTAAAAAAATTGATGCAACTTTAATTTTGATAGGTGTTTTGTTTTTTTAACTTTGAGCAAAGATATCTCCACTACCACCAGACCAAATTCGATGAGTTTTTTTTTATTTAAATTCTATGGGATTCATAGAATTCAAATAAAAAAATTATCAAATTTGGTCCAGTTGTTGTGGAGATAGCTTTGCTCAAAGATTTTTAAAAAAATTAGCACAGCTTTAATTTAGATAAACGTTTCGATTTTTCTTCAACTTTGAGCGAAGATACCTCCATTACCACCAGACCAAATTCGATGAATTTTTTTTATTTAAATTCTATGCATTCATAGAATTCAAATAAAAAAAAAATTATCAAATTTGGTCCAGTGGTTATAGAGATAGCTTCGCTCAAATTTAAAAAAATTAGCGCAGCTTTAATTTTGATAGGTGTTTTGTTTTTTTTTTAGCTTTAAGCGAAGATATCTCTACTACCACCAGACCTAATTCGATGAATTTTTTTTATTTAAATTCTATGGGATTCATAGAATTCAAAAAAAAAAAAAAATTATCAAATTTGGTCTGGTGGTTATAGAGATAGCTTCGCTCAAAGATTTTTAAAAAAATTGGCACAGCTTTAATTTTGATAGGTGTTTTGTTTTTTTTAGAGCTAAGATATCTCCACTACCACCAGACCAAATTCGATAAATTTTTTTATCAAATTTGGTCCTGTGGTTGTGGAAATAGCTTTGCTCAAAACTTTTTAAAAAAATTGGCGCAGCTTTAATTTTGATAGATGTTTTGTTTTTTTTAACTTTGAGCGAAGATATCTCCATTACCACCAGACCAAATTCAATGAATTTTTTTTTATTTAAATTCTATGGGATTCATAGAATTCAAATAAAAAAAATTATCAAATTTGGTCTAGTGGTTGTTGAGATAGCTTCGCTCAAAGCTTTTTATAAAAATTGGCACAGCTTTAATTTAGATAGACGTTTCGATTTTTCTTCAACTTTGAGTAAAGATACCTCCATTACCACCAGACCAAATTTGATGAATTATTTTTTATATAAATTCTATGAATTCATAGAATTCAAATAAAAAAAATTTGGTTCAGTAGTTGTTGAGATAGCTTCGCTCAAAATATCAAAAAAAATTGGTACAGTCTCTATTAGTCTATTCTATAAATGTATCAAGAACATAAATCAATTTTGGGGGTGTGATTTCAAATTGTCACACGGGCACGGGATGTGATGTTATTCATCACATGCAAATTACTAATTATGTGTGATGTTTTACTAATCAGTGTTATGTAATTATTTAGGGTGTTATGCCATGCCCCATATGATGATTTTCTATACCCAACCCTATTGCTACTATGCATAACCAATAAAATCACACGATCAGGTGTAAACAAAACATTCACTATAAGTATAAAAAGACAATTAGCTTTAGAAAAATTAAATCAGAAATATATTTTTTAGATTAACCAGAACACTCGAATCTAACGAACTAAAATGCCAAAAAGACTTAGAGAATATAAATCAAACAAACAAAATTCCGAACACTCAGTAGAACCTCCAGAACAAAATCCTGAATGCTCAGTAGAACCTCCAGAACAAAATCCTGAACACTCAGTAGAACCTCTAGAACAAAATCTCGAATACTCAATAAAACCTCCAGAACAAAATTCTGAACGCTTAGTAAAACCTCCAGAACAAAATTAAGCACCAGCACAAGAAATAGCCGATGAAGATATACCTTTATTTATTGCTTTCCTTTATAATAAACTTCAAGAAAAAGATTGCCAAATCGCGGCTCTAATAAATGAAAATAATACACTGAGAAACGATAATAATATACTAAGAAATGGTACTTTGGTAATAATAAATGACAATAATTCAATGAGAGAAAGTAAGTTTTTTGTTTAAAAAAGCTTGTTTTTTTTATTATTAATTAATAATTGAGATAATGAACATTTTTATAATAAAATAGCATTAGTTGAAGTAAGGGAGCAATTGGAGTTACTTCAGTTACTTTGGGGTGGACGAATTTAGATAAAAAAAAATTGGTTGTCTATATATATATTTGGTTAACATAGAGAACAAAATTTTATTCATTTGTAATCGTACAATGTTTTATTATTTTTTTTTGGGAGATTTGTTCTTCCTTATGCATACTTTGAATAAAGGCGACATATATTTTAATAGACTAAATACAAAGTATATATATATACGTAACTTTTGAAATTTAATTTTTTTTTTTTTTTTGTGACTTAATCTAAATCGTTAGAAATTAACTAAATAACGATTTTGCATTGGCTATTCATGGACCCATTCTTAATAATTGCTTTTTAAAATTAGCAATATTTTTTTGGGTGATGTGGCTAAGTATAAACTTGCACCCGGAAAATGTGTACCAGGTTGGGTTCGGATAATGGTCCAGAAAATGTTTTTGAATTTTTACGTATTTTTTCTTTTTACTAAGACTTTATTTTTCAATTATAGCGATAATATAAAGCAATATTTAATACAATTTACAACATATATATAATGCATAAAATAATAAAAATAAACTTGAATTTCGACTTTATTTCTTTTTAACCATTTTGTTTGTTTTCTGTGATGTTCTTTAATAATTTATGTACTCTTTTTGCAATTGATCATTCTTTATGCCCTTCATTTCAAATTGATCGATATTTTCTTTCTGAATATTCATTTACTGTATAAAATTTGGTGAAATAGATAAACTTTAACTTGTCTATTGATAAAGATTCGGATTTTCATATCCTTCTTAAAATATTTAATGTTGGCAAGAAGTTGGCTATTATTGTTAACACTACTAATGATAAGTTGAAACCTTTTTAATAGATATAATTTGTTTAGTAGATCTTCATTGCTAATAGGTATTAAATAAGTTCTGAATTGGTATCAACTAAAATTTAAATACAAACCTAATTTTATCTCACTTTTAGACGATCAAACATTGCTTATTTCACATTTGGCTATTATAGTTTCAACTTGTGACTCATAAGCAATGAAAATTTTTAGCCAAGTGATATAGGTAGATTTGATATATTCTATTATTTTGGCTTGCTAAGTCCTAATTTAATGGTTTCTTAACGTACAATATAAAATACATATAACAAATTTTGCATCACTTTTGTTTTTTGCAAGAAAAAACAAAAAGCAAGCGAAAAATATTATTAATTATATATTATAATTTAAATAATGATAAACTAATGACAATAAGTAATTTTATTTTATTAGCTAGACAATGTACGTACATAAATACTAATTTTTGGTTCTAGTTCCGAATGTTATACCATTCCGATCTAGCTTTCCTAACGATTATTCGATTTCAACCTGGTACACATTTTCCAGGTGCTATGAACTTTACGGAGCAGATTTTACAACCAGTTGGGAAACTGTGGAAAAAAATTCACCGAGGAGGAAATTGGAGAGGAAAATTACGATATTTTTGTAAATATGAAAGTAAGTTGGGTCTAATTTTGGCTTTCAATAAAAAAGTAATATTTTTTTTGCAAAAATTAATTAAAAATGGAGATAATTCACAAAGACAGCAGGCTATTTTTAAGTATTTATAGCAAATTAGATAGCAATTGATTTTTATTGCACTTTACTAAAAATAAAAAAGAGACAGATAATACTTTGGTGACCTCCTAAAAATAATAATATATGTGTCAGTGTTGGCTCCTGACTTGCCTTTGCCCATTTTTTTCTTTTCAGCAATTTTTTCTTCCCCCAATTAAAAGAAGGACTAATAGTTATCCGCGCTTGCCTGGCAAAATTAATTGGGGAATGGAAAAAGAAAATCCAACATGTTTATCTACAAATAGGCAGATATGGAGAATTACTCATAGATTTAGATAAATCACCATAAATATATATTAAATAATCATGGATTAACTTATCTAATTATAGGCAGATATGAATAATCACTTGCAAACTTTAATAAATCATTAGAAATCGAACTTGATAATGCAATGACCTTAAATAACTATGGATTGGTTTACAAAGTCATTGAAAGACATGAAGAATCACTTTTAAACAACTTGTTGGAAAAATGATCCGGATAATTCAACATATTTAAACAATTGCAGATATTTTTATCTGAAGATGGAGAGATACGAAGAGTCCCTTAAGATTTAAACAAATCATTAGAAGTCGAACCAAATAATGCAGCGGCATTGGCTAATTGTGGATATAAATACCAAATATTAGGCAGATATGAAGAATCCTTTGCTGACTTAAATAAATTATTAGAAATATGACATAATTATATAATCGTGGGGAAACTTGGAAATATATGAAGAGTCACTTAAAGACTTAAACAAATCATTAGAGGTCGAGCCAAATAATGCAATAGCATTAAAGATTCATGGAGAGACATATAAACAAACATGAAGATATTAAGACTTACTTACAGACTTAAATAAGTCATTTGAAATCGAATCAGATAATGCAATGATTAGTTATTCGTGCACATATGTACTTATATAGAAATGGAGTAAATATTAAGAGTCACTCATGGATATAATAGACTAGGAAATGCAGAGCATTGTGTGTCTAGAGCTAATAAAATTGAAATCGATGCACTTAGTATTTTTGATAATAAGCATGTAATTGACAACCAATCAGCGGACAGAATTACATGAGGACGTAGATCAAATACAGCAATCATTAGATATTAATTCAAATAGGTTAGAGAGATTAAGATTTCGTGGATTAATTTATCTAATATAAATAAATATGAAGAATCGCTTGCAGATTTAAATAAATCATTAGAAACCAAACCAGATGATATTACACGAAATTGCCTTGAATTACTTTATGGAAAGATGGATGATTATGAAAAACCACTTGAATACTTAAATAAATTATTAGAAATCAACCCAAATGATACAATGAATTTAAAAAAATGTGGAAAAATTTATCAAATAATAGGTGAATTTGAAAATACAATTGCAGATTTAGATAATTATTAGAAGTTGAACCAAAGAATGAAGATGCATTACATAAGGCAGCATCTATAATTTACATTAAACCAGTACTGTATTGTATAGAAATATAGAAATAGGGATCTTGATGATAATGCTATATGGTATTATTTTTGTATTATCTTTTAAGATCTCTATAAAAATACTGGTTTGACATAAATTATAGATGCCGCCTAATCATAGAACAATTTATTATGCAATAAGAGCATATGAAGAATCACTTACAGACTTAAATTAAGATTAGGAAAATTTGAAGGCTCACTTGCAGATTTGAATAAATTATTAGAAATTAGTCCGAATTATGTGGATTAACATATCTAACAATGGGACGATATGAAGAGTCACTTGTAGATTTTAACGATTCATTAACATATATAACAATGAGATGATATGAAGAGTCACTTGTAGATTTCAACAACTCATTAATATATTTAACAATGGGACGATATGAAGAGTCACTTGTAGATTTTTAAAAATAATCCTGAACTATTATATAGCATTAAATAATCGTGGCAAAGTTAGATTGATAAAGAATCACTAGTGGATCTCAATAAAGCGTTAAAAATTGAGCTCAATTATTTAAATAATCATGGATTTACTTTTAAGTAGTGCTCCGAAAAAGTTATTCAGGTTGGGTTTGGGGTTAAACCTGTATTTGTTAAAACAAACTCGGGTTTGAAAATCCCTACTCGGGTATTATTAAAATTATCCGGTAATTTATTATAGCTCAAGTTATTCATTTAACTAATCATATGATATTTAACTATTGATTACTAGTAATTTAATCACTTGGGGTCATGTAATAAATTTCCCCCCTTTTGGAGCACTACTTATAAGGCAATGGGCTGGTTTAAAGAATCTTCAATTAAGTACTATTCAAATTCATAAATATTTACTGATTAATTTCATTTTATTCACGTTAACTTTAGGAATATATTAACATTTATTATCTAAGTATTTTAAATAAGCTACGTGTTGTTTAAATGTAATCGAAGGCAGTGTTTCAGCCTAAACCTTCTCCAAAGTCCGAAACGCTTTGCCCAGAGGAATTTTAGTTTTGCCCAATTTGATCTGCAAATGATCTACAAAATCAGGTTTCGCCCAAACACTGATCGAAGATATCTTTTATGTGCTTCAACCAGAATGCAAAACATTCAAGTTAGCCTCAAAGAGTGCTGTAACATAATTTCTAACACAACTAGAACAAAATTTTACAAATTCTGCTAATAAAACCACAGATGCCCATTAATTAAAATTTTTCAGATCAATTTTGTCATATGGCAGCAAAAATTGAAATTGGCAAAAATTAAAGTTTTGTATGATCGTCGAGTTAAATTAAGATTAACGCAAGTCAACTACCTAAATACGTCACTGCACTTTTGGGTCCCTGAAAGATTCTTAAATCAAGAACAATAAACTTTTCATTATAATTATAACAATGTGTATTAATTAATAACTTTAAACAGGTATAATTTCAAGAAATTATTATATTGTAGCTGGGAATTTCCACAAACCTTTTTCAGTCATAATAGATTCAATTAAATTTTTTTCACACAATCATTTTCTTCTCACACAAGAAATGAAAATATTCCTAATCACGATGTATGCACCCTACTATAATCAGATAAATGAAAAACATTACTTTTACTAAAAAAGGAACTTCATAACCAAAATCAAAAAGTTGAACATAAATATTTAATTTGCAAA